CCTGAGATTTTCCTGAATTGTAGCACCCCAAAGCATTTGCCTGTAATGCTTGCTTTGCTTAGCTCTGTGATTGACAGCATGGACCCATCAGATTCACATCAGCCCACCTGAAATGCTGGCCATGCTTCCCAGGAAAGTAACCTGCTTTACTGTACTGCAGCAAGGGATTTGCTTGGAGGTGCAGAGGGAAGAGGGCTCTATGAATAAAAACAAATATCAGAACAATAAAAGCTAGAATGAGACTGGCTAGGATATTAATCTCTCAGCCCCACTGTTATTTAGGAATTTTCCAAACTATCTCTCCAGCAGAGGAAAATGGAGGAACCTGTTTCTAGGTGTCTGTCTCCTCTATTTGGAGGTTTTCTTGTTGCTGTTGAATACAAGTGAAGTTGCAAAAGCCACCTTTAAATCCTTAATTTTATCCTAATTAAGGAAGACATCTAAGACATCTTCATCTCATGGCTTTGCTTCTGTCTGGCATTTGTCAGACAGCTGAGCTCTTAAAGAACACAGGGAAAGAAGCTCATAGATGGATACAGAGGAACCATGTAGTACCAACTCCTCTGTATCCCACAAATTGCACCCTTGAGAGGGGTCAGCTGAACTGCACACACAAACTTGCTTTCAGCCATTTGAAAAGGATCTTCTGGCAATGCACAGCTGTGTTTATTTGGTGTATAAGGTAACCTGAAAATACAAACTGCTAATTTCAACTTGTGTCATGCTAACCCTGTGAGTTTAAGCTGTTAGTCTGAAATTGAGTAGCCCTAACTCATATCTGCTCTGAACTCAGGGTGGAACTTAGTCTAGAGTTCTGGGGCCAAATCTAACTGGAAATATGGCCTGATTCCCCATGTGTATGCACATACACACAGAGGTGAGAGAGGAGGCACAGGGAGGAGCTACCTGGGGCCAGGCTGGATGTCCTTGCTGTATGAGGAAGGACATCAGGATGGGAAGTGGGGAGGTGCTCCCGGGCCATGAAGGTTAGGGCAGAGCGGCTGGGGCTGGGATGACCCAAGGAGCAGGGCTTAGGGTAGCACACAAAGAGAACAGTGGCCAGCTCCCAACTCTCTTGTGCTGGGGACAGGCCGATTTCTGAACCTGCCTATTTTCTTTTGGATTGAAAATTTTGAGGTTTTCTTTCAAATGACTTTTCACATGGAAATTCCATAGCTTTTCACTTAAACTGTGTTTTTAAAAATGAAAGGGTTTGAGAGTGCAGTAACAGCTTTTTGTTGTTTTATTTCTTTCTTCCAAGATGAAATATTCTTGTCAACTCCACATCCCCTTATTTGCTGCAAATGCTCTTTTACAGGACAGGTTTTTTTCCATTAAGTGTTTTCAGATTTTACCATTTTCTGGAATTGGGTTTCCACCAGCATCTGTGCTGCCCACATGAGGAAAACAAGGACTGATCAGTGATGTGCAGCAGTGCCAGGTGATGACGGTGACCAAGGGCCAGCAGGGACATGCTGAAAGGCTGAGTTGGACATGAGCCCACACAGCTAGCAGTGGCAATGCTGCAGGGCATTCCTCAGCATTGGATAAACTCACATGATAGTATTTAGGGTAGGCAGTCTTCAGTGTTTGCCTTACGGGTAGTTTGATTTTTTATTTTATGACTGAAGTTTGATGTAATATTGCATGCATGCCAACATGTGTGTGCTACCCCACGTGTGATCCAAATGGTGCAACCTAACTGTTAGAGCGATTCTTCTTATTCCACTAGCTCCTTCTGTTGAAAACTCAAAAAAAGCCCATGCTTTTACAGAGAAGTTAACAACCTCCATGTGCCGCATAGCAGATGGTACAGTAATGTTGGAGGCGTATTTTACAATAAGCTTTTTCCACATGGGGAAATTGAGGTATTGAGAAGTCTCTTTGTGATGCCCGAGAATGAATCAGGGACAGAGAGAAACTACAGGGGTGCAGGAGTTCAAGAAACAGCACTGGTGTAAGTTTTAGGGGCTGAGTGCACCCTGCCAAACTTCAGCTATTCAGCCTTGATCAACCTGGACTCTTCTAAGGTCAGCAAGTGTGCGAGGCATTTCCAGAAGACAACTTGGACTGCTTCATATTGGGATCTTCCTCCAGAAATACCTACCCCTCTCCAGTGACTGTAAAGAACCCATGGTGAAAACACCTCCTATTTTAATCACCTTGGTCAGGTGCCTACAGCTAAGTGGGATCTGATTAATGCTCAGAGAAAGGCCTGAGCACTATCCCACAACTGACTGGTGTGGACGTGCAGTCCTGCAAGGTTCCTCAGCATCAATGCAAACCACACCTGATGGGAAGAGGTGATAAAGTCTTCAGGAACTGTTGTGGTTTAACCCCAGCTGGCAACTAAGGACCACACAGCTGCTCGCTCACTCCCCTGCAGCGGGATGGGGGAGAGAATTGGAAGGGTAAAAGTGCTCCCAAAGGACAGAGCATTTTTTTTATAAAACTTGCCTCAGATAATTCTGAATGAAAATACATTTGTAAATGCCAACATTTCCCAATGGGTTCCCCACCTAGAGGCAAGGGAGCCAGCTCAGCCACTAAGTTCTTCCTCATGAATAGCTGTGCTAATAATAGCTGCTGAAATTAGATCAAACCACAGGACAGTGACAATAACAACTCAGATTTTTCAGAAGAGCTGAATGACTTGTGCAGTAGACCTTCTGCAAAGGCTGGCTATGAATGGCACAAGAGGAGCTCTTTAATTCTGATCCCTTCTGAAAATCTGGGCTTGACAATACTAAACCCCTGGGATAGCTGACCCTCCACTCTCCTGACACGTTAGCATTGGTTATCCCAGACCTGAATGCTGAACTTTACAGCAGGACATCTAATCTGAGCAGCCAGCCCAGAAGCAAGATCTCACAAGTGACTCCAGTTAGGACATAGAAACTGATAGTGGCATCATTCATTGCAGTTTTGGTTGCTTTGCCCTACACCAGAGATATTGCTTAGGAGGAGCAATGTAAGCTCATACTGGCTCAAACAGGGTTTGCAGGGTGGGGGAGAATATGTCAAATGTTGTGTTATTTTCACCCAACAGCTGGCAAGGAAAAGAAAATGGCCCCAAGCAGAATAAAGCCAGCCCTCCCCGTATATGTAATTTTCTTGGGCTGCCATTACCCCATCTTGTCCCTACTGTGCCATTGCTTCTTTGCCCGGCTGTGGGCTCTATTTCACTGTTTCACAACCTGATCTGTGTCTTCATCACCATATACCCTATGTCCAAGCAGTACCCAGTCCGATCCAGAGCATTCAGATGCTGGAATGGGCTCTCTCCACCTCCTGTTTTCAGGCAGTGGCCATGCTTGTGTGGTTGGTTTTGAGGGCTGCTGCTATCCTAGCTCTGTGTCTCCTCTTGTCTGTTTTGAATGAACCGTAGAGGCAATGCCATCACTTTGAACATGCTGCATCTGTCCCCATTTAGAGATATTTTAGGACCTCATCCCCATCACCTTTGCTCATCCCTGTGTCTAACCAGGGTGAAGGATCAGCCCAGATAGTGACTCGACTGCCTGATGGCAAATGCTCTTTTCTCATGATCTCATTCCTATGCAAGGGACGTTTTCGGTACCAATCACTCATCACTAGTTAGCTGACAGTGGAGCAAGGGTGAAGAAAATGAAGCAGGGAGTCGTGTGTTGCCCTGTTCTGCCTGCCCCCAGCAGGACATGCTGTCCAAGGGAGCGTGCTAAGAGCACCGCATCTATTTTAATGGTATGGTTTGAAGAAGTCAGCTCTGAACCAGCAGCGAGGGCAGTGGAGGGAGGATGTGCTGCAGTCATAAAAATTCCATCGAGATAAATCAATAGAGGGAGGAGGAGAATGAGAGGAAGAAATGGCAAAGTCAGACGCTGTTCATCTCTGCCCACAGGAGAGAGGGAGATGATGCCTCTGTGGTCATGGGGGTTTAACAGGAGTGAAAGGGAGCAAAGTCCAAGTCAGAGAGGAGCTGTCAGGAGCAGGTGACAGCCTTTAGTATGGGCTGGTGGAACTGGATTTGGGGGTCTGGTTCAGAGCGCCACTAAGTGCCAGACATGGTTCTGCATGGCACTAATTAGCACCTTCTCAGGCAGGCTGAAAAAGAGGGTAAGGAGCAAACTGTCTTGCAGCAGCAAGCAGGAGAACGGTGGGCTAAAGATCTGGACTACTGCCAGTCCAGTCCAGACAGGAGCTGCCCCCCAGAAACGCTAGCTATGGGTGAGCTAGGACACCCTCTCTCTCATCACAACCAAAGGTCCTCATTATGGTGGAAACTCTGTTTTCTGTCTGCAAAAGGCTCAAGATTTTGAACTGGTTACACCAACAGCTGGGTCCATAGCACCCCCTGCCCCAGCTTCCTTTTCTAATCTTCAGCAAAGGGTATCTGCCCAGAAACCCACAGTGCCCCCATTTTTCATATAAACCATTTATAGTATACGTCCTGAAGTAAGGGATGGATTCTCACTAGGTTTATGCACAACACTGCTATTGCTATATGTACAAATTAGGTGTATGGAGCACTGCTGGGCTGTGTCCTAATAAATAACAGAAACTGCTGTCTGCTTGCCTTCTCTGGTAAGTTGGTAAGCAGCTTTCCTTGACTGTGTTTGAAAGGTGTAGTTGAACTTAGGACTGGATTCAACCAATGTCCGCACTATTCCTTCATGCCTGTGCTTAAAAGGAGTGTTTGGCTTGAGTTGTCCATCAAGAGGAAGCCCAAGCCCTAGTTTGTATGGTTTTGGCTTTCCAGGCATGGGTCAGGCCAAACATGCTACGGCTCAACCCACCAGTCAACACACAGTCTTTGCTCTTCCTAAGTGTTCCATGGATGTCCTGACCCCGAGCTGAAGATGAGCCTGGAAAGGTGTCAGTGGTCACTGACACCTGCTCCCAGACTTAAAAAGCAAATGTTCTGGCTGTGACTCCAAAACAGTGGCCTGCAGACCAGAGGACAGGACTCTGCTTTGCCTGAATCCCTCTTGGAAAGACATGTTCTTCCTTCTCTTTCACAGGAATACACCATTGATATCTTCTTTGCTCAGACGTGGTATGACCGGCGTCTTCGTTTCAACAGCACCTTGAAGGCCCTCACGCTGAACACCAACATGGTGAGCCGCATCTGGATCCCAGATACCTTTTTCAGGAACTCCAAGCGGGCTGATTCCCACTGGATAACCACTCCTAATCAGCTCCTCCGCATCTGGAATGATGGAAAAGTGCTCTACACACTCAGGTACATGCAGCAGGCACTGTAGCTGGCTGTTGAGGTGAGGGAAAAAGGAGCTGGTCAAAGCAGAGGAGGTTTCCAGGTGCCCTGGGACAGAGTAGTGGAGACATCTCCCAGGGCTGATGGGAGTGCATATGCAGTACTGGTTGCAGAATGGGCTTCCTCTTCCCAGGATGAAGGCTTCCAAAAAAATCAAACTGTTTTTCCATATCATACCTAGAAAAAAGTCAAAACTACAAATGGTTTCCTAAACCAAAATCCTTTAAAAGTTGGTTAGTCCAGCTATTTAATTCTGATATTAAACATTTGGCTTTTGTTCCCATAAATTCTCAGTCCCATAAATGAATCTGAAAAGCTTACTAAACAAAAAAGCTTTTTGAATGTGAAAATTAAATGTTTTTCTCACTTTGAAAATATCCAAACATATGTTTTATTTTGCTGCTGTTTTGAAACGTTCCTGCAAACAGACTGATCTTCAACAAATTAGTGTTTCTCTCTCAAGGAAGCGAGAATCTCTCTGTCACATTGTGGTATTGGAATCAAACCACCTTCACCAACACAATATCTCAGTCTCTCTCTCTCTCTCTCCCTCTCTCTCAGGCTGACGATTGAGGCTGAATGTCTGCTCCAGCTGCAGAATTTCCCAATGGACACTCACTCCTGCCCTTTGGTTTTTTCCAGTTGTGAGTATATATATTTTTTAATAGTTTTAGAAGGCAAGTAGAGAAACCTCAGTAGAATAAATCTCTTCTGGGAAGACCATCCTCCCTTTTAGCTACATTTTTCACCTAATCTCTGTGACTGTCTTCCTGGGCCATTACCTGTCATGCCCTGAAGCATCCTCCCAGTTCTGGGCTAGAAGAGGTCTTCTGGGACAGATTCACAGCACCTCTGAGTTTCTCCTTAATTTGGGTGGATGGTTGGAGGTGATTATTTCACTGACCTTCTGGTCACTCTAGACAGAGTATATCCCTTCAGCTGGCAGACAAATGGCACCTGTCCTGCCTTGCATCTTCCCCCTTCTCCTGCTCTCTGAGGGGACAGCTTGGCTTTCCAGACCTCAGCCCAGAGACAGGCCCACTTTCTGCACCCAAGGTGATGGCAAAGGAGGGGTACTCAGACCTCCCCTCTCAGTCCCCACGTGTCCATTCTCATCAGCAGAGAGGGCTGCTGATGTTGGCACATCTCCACTGGTAATTTTGCAGGGAGCCTTTCTACACCAAGAGATTCCTGTCCTCATGCGCTGGTTGGAAATCTGATTCAGTCATCTTAGCTCAGGTTTGCCTCTCCTGCTTCCCCTGCCACTGAAGAGATGCAGCACACGTGGCTCTGAGATGCTTCAGAAGGAGACAGCATGCTGAGGAGATACCTTCCCCTCATCTCCCACCATCCCTCATTCTTTGCTAATTAACGGTACATGCCATACATGCTTGATAATTAGAAACACACTTTTCATTTGCTGCCAAGCTCTTGCTCCTTTCCTCCTCTGAGGAACTCTATCGTAGGTGTTGAGGTCCCTGCTTCACAGTAGGCTTCTTTCTTTGTCAAGAAAGCCAGAGCCAGGAGAAGCCATGCTCCAGCCTGCAGGAGCCAGATCTCCTTCTCCATGGAGAATGCACCCTTTCTTTTCCATACTCAGGATCAGCTCCCAGGGCGAGAGGTACAGAGATAGTCAGAGCAGCCACAACCAGGCTACCTCCCATGTTCACAGCTTTTTATTCCTGGTGTAGTCATGCCTGGGAAGGGGAGGTAGTCATGAGGAGTAGTGAGGGCCCCGTGCTGCCCCAGGGAGCTAAAACCCTTAAAGATTTCAGGCTGGGAGAGTCCTCTTACACCAATCCAAGCCTCTTTCCCACCAGTGCAGTCCTTAGAAAAACTCTGTTTCTAGCATTGGATTTCCCATCCCTAGGATTTGAAGTGGCCCACAAGGGGAGATGCTGTCCCTACCCCCATTGCATGTGGGGATGCCTAAGGGAACCTAAACAAAAGGCATGAGAAATACCTGCCTGAAAGCTTCATGTTTACAAAACAGCTAGAGTGAGATGCCAGTGCTTTTGCAGTCAGGGTGGTGAATGAGGTGGAGGCACATGATGTACCATTTCATTGATGTCCTTGACCCTTTTCCCAGATGGCTACCCACGTGAGGAGATTGTCTATCGCTGGAGGCGCTACTCCATTGAGGTCTCCGACCAGCGCACCTGGAGGCTGTACCAGTTTGACTTCACAGGGCTGAGGAACACCTCAGAAGTTCTCAGGACTGGGGCAGGTGAGGCAAAGGGAGACAGCCCACAGACACGTCAGTGTGTTGGAGACCTTGCAGGAGGCAAAGGAGTCATCAGACAGCTCCACAGTGGTGGGGAAGGAAAGTCACAACAGCACAGTTAGAGAAATGTAAGAATGAAGGGATGGACCTTTGCTAGAGGGAGCAGAAGTGATGGAGATTAAGAGTGAGGGGAAGATGAAGCAGGGGTAGGCCAGAACCACTGACAGCTGTGAACTGTGGGGTGACAATGCTGATGTGAATGAAGCTATCCCTAACTAAAGGATCAAGAGGGAGAGGAGATGGAGCTCAGATCCCCTCTTGCTGCAGTATGTGCATACTATGTCATTCCTGGATGATGCTTACAATTAGAACAGGGGTGGGGAAATCAGAACTTGCAGATCTCAATCTTTCCTTCTGTAAAGTTGTGTGGGGCTGACAAACACCTGAATTATGCTTTAAGAGACAGGAACAAGGCTGCATGTGTGAAGAAACTAAGGAATGGAGGCTCTTCAGCTCCTCCTCCTCATAATAGCTCACATCCTCTTTCCTTCCCACAGACAACTGAGGAAAGCCTCTTTGGATTCCTGCAGGTGGGGTGAGCTCATATTTTTAAGCCCTCTGAAGCAGCAAGTTCACATATTGCTTCTCCCACTCTGCAGAAAGCTGCTGTTGCCAACACCAGCAGCCAGCCTCTAACTGGGGTAGAAAGGCAGGACAAACCGGGACAAGAATTGGTGCAGTGGAAGTGTCCTGAATGCACTAGTGGCTGTCTGACATTTGTAATTCTCTTTTTTGGTAATTGCTTGGAAGCTCCATCTTAACCCTAGAGCTGTCAGGTGGCTTTCTTCCAATACTCACTAGGATCCACTAAAAAAGCGGAAGAACCTCAGCTGTAAGTTGCCAAATGAGCAATTAGGATGTACAGCACCACATTCCTTTTCCAGGGCCAGAACCAGAGTCTCAATGAAAGTGATTGAAGGACACTTCCTTTGTCACAGTTCAGGTAGTTAGTTAGCAAGCCAGGCCGTGTAGCCTGTTACAGCTAAATAGCTTCTATAGAAAAGAAACCCTTGCAGCAATCAGCTGAAGATGAAAACTCTATAGTTTCTTCTCTGAAACTTTGCCAGACAGTGTGCTTTTCAGTGTGCTTGGACACACAGCAGGGCCAATACAAATGCAGCCTGGTGGCCACATAGCCAGCCAGGCAGGTAGCAGCTGGGCAACCACAAAGTCAGCTCTTAAATTAGTCACAAAGACATTAAGTCAGACAGCTACAGCACCAGCCAGGTAGCCACAGAGTCCACTAGCCACAAAACCAGCAAGCCAGCTACAATGCCAGTGAGCCACCAAACCTACTCAGCCAGCCACACAGCTGTCCATAAAGCTAACAATCTGGGCAGCCACAAAGCCAGCCACAAAACCAGCCAGCCAGGCACTTAAAACAACAAGAAAACCTCATCAGAAACACTCCAAATTCCGAAACTTTGCTGATTTTTGTGTTTCGGGAAGCCACATGTTATGATTCCAATGTCTCCGTTGCTTTTTCCTAGGGGAGTACATGGTGATGACAGTTTCTTTTGACCTAAGCAGACGTATGGGTTATTTTGCCATTCAGACCTACATTCCCTGCATCCTGACTGTTGTTCTTTCCTGGGTTTCCTTCTGGATCAAGAGAGACTCTACGCCAGCCAGGACATCTCTGGGTAAGAGACAGGTTGTTGCACGTCTGATGCTTGTCAAACTCTGCAAGGCTAGCAGACTGGCAGTGTTGGAGTACAAAATCTCCTAAAGCACTTTGCCATCTTTTGGCATTATTCAGTTTACTGGAGGATAGTCCACTCCTCCATCTTTCTGTTTGTAACACTATCCTCAAGCTCAACCAAATCTCCAGCTGTGCTGGCTTGGACTACTGGATTATTTCAGGATAGCACAACACTCTCATATCTTGATCTGAGACCTGAACACAGCCTTTTCCAAGTTGACAATGTGGTATTCTCATGTGCTGAAAGGGAAAAGGGTGAGCTGTGGCATTGCAATGCTGGCCAAAGGGCTCCTGTCACAAGCATGTATTCTGCATTTCCTCATGACTTTTCAAGGGCTTAGTGTAGGACCAATGACAAGAAGGTTGTAGGGTAACAAGCAAAGTTGCTCGGCTGTATCCATAGAGTCCCAAGCTCTGGCAGGACATGGAAGCCCTGTAGGTACAGCCTTTCTCTGTCAGTCACACCACAGTGGGAGTCCAGGACATGGCAACAGCTCTGCCTATTGTTTAGATTTTCTCAGCAACCTGCAGTGGCTCTTTGAGGCAGGAAAAAGCTTATGTTGATTGAATCCTGCTCTGATAGGCGCTAGACAGGTCTTTACAAATCTTTAATACACTTTAGCTGTATCTGCATTTTGCAGCAAGCTCTGCTTCCTGGCGCTGTCCTTCCCATCAGCCTTGCTGACTTTCCCTTTAATTGGAGGTAGCATTCCCAGCCCTCCCTGCAGGCCTCTGTGTGGAGGAAGAGAAGAGGCAAGGGGCCATCAGCATCAGGCAGGGCTAGTCAGAGCCCATACATTCTGACCATCTCTCCCCACCTCCCTATCAAAATCAATTTCTTTGGTGCCCATGGAAAGAGCAGGAGGAAGAATGGGGTGTCATTTCCAATGGAGGTGAGGGTACGCCATAGTCTGTGGCTGGGAAAGGAATGAACAGCAAGAGGCAAAATGTTCTGCAAGGCTGACACCACTATGGTGGCTGTCTCAAAAAACAAAGGCAAGTTTCCCCAGGAGGGGGGCTCCTCTCTGTGGTAAGGGACCTCAGCACATCAAGAGCAATGTATTCTCTCCACAGTCCCTGTTGTACTTAATACAAATGATTCCCAGTGCATTTTAAGCCTGCCAACCTACATTAGGGAGATGTAAACCAGACCAGTTCCATTGGCATTTCAAATATATAGGAAGTCATATCACATCTGCTAAAGCAAAGACAGCAGGAAAATATGAAAATCTCTTGCCATGCTCCCACCCAGAGCCATTGGGGTGACCCCAGGAAAGGGTGGCAGGTGGATTTAGATGAATTCTAGAGAAGGAAGAACAGGTGGATTTCCATCTTCTCCACATCCTAAAAAGCAGTCAATGAGATCATGATACCAACTCTTGCAGCTGATCCTTTGTCGGCTCCTGATACTTCATCTCTGGAAACAGGTCTGTGAGCATTACTGCTGCTGCAAAAACAATTCCAAGCCCCATTCAAGTCAAAAGAGATTCCTTATCATCTCCTACCCACTTGCCCTCTACGCCAAGAAATGGATAGATTGTGAAGAGCTGTCTCTGAAGAACAGCCATAAGCAGGTTGAAAGCTTACGGGTAAGAATTAGAGAGCAAGGCAACAAAGGGAATCTTGTGGTTGGTGTTTACTACAGGCAGCCCAATCAAGGGGAGCCTATTGACGCAGCCTTCTTACTCCAGCTACAGGAGGCATCGCGCTCGCAGGCTCTCGTCCTGCTGGGGGACTTCAGCCACACCAACATCTGCTGGAAAAGTAGCACGGTGAGCTGCAGGCAATCCAGGAGATTCCTGGAGTGCATTGAGGATAACTCAATGTAATATACAAGCCAGGTAATATACAATCCTACCAGAGGGGACGTGATACTGGACCTGATGGTCACCAATGCAAGTCAGCTAATTGGTGACATCAAGACTGAAGGCAGCCTGGCTGCAGTGATCATGCACTGGTGGAGTTCACAGTCCTTAGGGATATGGGTCAGGCAAAGAGTAAAGTCAGGAACTTAAATTTTAGGAAAGCAAAATTCCAGCTGTTCAAGAAGTTAGCCAATAGGACCCCCTGGGAAACTGCCCTCAGGGACAAGGGAGCAGAACAGAGCTGGCAGATCTTTAAGGATGCTTTCCACAGAGTGCAAGAGCTCTCGATCCCCAGGTGTAAGAAATCAGGAAAGGAGGGCAAGAGACTGGCATGGATGAGTCGAGACCTGCTGGTCAAACTAAAGGGCAAGAAGGAAATGTACAGGCAATGGAAGCAGGGACAGGTATCCTGGGAGGAGTATAGGGACGCTGCCTGGTTGTGTAGGGATGGCGTCAGGAAGGCCAAGGCGCAGCTCAAGCTGAACTTGGCAAGGGATGCAAAGAATAATAAGAAGGGCTTCTACAGGTATGTCAGCCAGAAAAAGGTCAAAGAAAGTGTACCGCCCTGATGAACACAACTGGCAAACTGGTAACAATGGATGAGGAGAAGGCTGAGGTACTCAACAACTTTTTTGCCTCAGTCTTCACTGGCAACCTCTCTTCCCACACCTCTTCAGTGGATGGACTGCAAGACAGGGACTGGGGGAGCAAAGTCCCTCTCACTGTAAGAGAATATCAGGTTTGTGACCACCTGAGGAAGCTGAATATACATAAGTCTATGGGACCTGACAAGATGCATCCCAGAGTCCTGAGGGAATTGGCTGATGTAGTTGCCAAACCACTCTCCATGATATTTGAAAAGTCATGGCAGTCAGGTGAAGACCTCGGTGACTGGAAAAAGGGAAACATTGCCCCCATTTTTAAAAAGGGTAGAAAGGAGGGCCCTGAGAACTACCAACCTGCCAGCCACATCTCTGTGCCTGGGAAGATCATGGAACAGATCCTCCTAGAAGCCATGTTAAGGCACATGGAGGACAGGGAGTTGATTTGACACAGCTAACATGCCTTCACCAAGGGCAAGTCTTGCCTGACCAGCCTAGTGGCCTTCTATGATGGAGTGACTACACCAGTGGACAAGGGAAGAGCTATAGATGTCATCTATCTGGACTTCTGTAAGGCCTTCGACACAGCCCCCCACAACATCCTTCTCTCTAAATTGGAGAGAGATGGATTTGATGGGTGGACTGTTCAGTGGATAAGGAATTGGCTGGGTGGTCGCATCCAGAGAGTAGTGGTCAACAGCTCAATGTCTGGATGGATATCAGTAATGAGTGGTGTCCCTCAGGAGTCCATATTGGGACCCGTACTGTTTAGTATCTTCATCAATGACATAGACAGTGGGATTGAGCGCACCCTCAGCAAATTTGCAGATGACACCAAGCTGAGTGGTGCAGCTGACAAGCCTGAGGGACAGGATGCCATCCAGAGGGACCTGGACAAGCTTGAGAAGTGAGTCCATGTGAACATCATGAGGTTCAACAAGGCCAAATGCAAGGCCCTGCACCTGGGGCAGGGCAACCCCCAGTATCAGTACAGGCTGAGGGAGGAAGGGATTGAGAGCAGCCTTGTGGAGAAGGACTTGGGAGTACTGGTGGATGAAAAGCTGGACATGAGCTGGCAATGTGTGCTCACAGCCCAGAAGGCCAACCATATCCTGGGCTGCATAAAAAGAAATGTGGCCAGCAGGTCGAGGGAGGTGATTCTGCCGCTCTACTCCACTCTGGTGAGACCCCACCTGGAGTACTGCATCCAGGTCTGGAGTCCTCGGTACAAGAAAGACATGGACCTGCTTGAGTGAGTCCAGAGGAGGGCCACAAAAACAATCAGAGGGATGGAACACCTCTCCTATGAGGACAGGCTGAGAGAGTTGGTGGTGTTCAGCCTGAAGAAGAGAAGGCTCTGGGGAGACCTTATTGCAGCCTTTCAATACTTAAAGGGGGCTTATAAGAAAGATGGGGACAGACTTTTTAATAGGGCCTATAGCAATAAGACAAGGAGTTATGGTTTTAAACTAAAAGAGGGTAGATTCAGACTAGATATAAAGAAGAAATTTTTTACAATGAGGGTGGTAAAACACTGGAACAGGTTGCTCAGAGAGGTGGTAGATGCCCCATCCCTGGAAACATTCAAAGTCAGGTTGGACGGGGCTCTGAGCAACCTGATCTAGTTGAAGATGTCCCTGCTCATTGCAGGTGGGTTGGACTAGATGACCTTTAAAGGTCCCTTCCAACCCAAACTATTCTATGATTCTATGATGAGCTTTGCATTGGGCTGAATTAATCCTGGGAGCAAATGCTCAAAGACAAAGGCAGAAGAAGAACAGAGGCCTTTGCCTTCCAGCTCTGGTTCACATCAGACAGAAGTAGCAGTCCTGTGTCATCTAAGACATTGCCATGTTTATTGCTGACTCAGCCAGACATCACTGACTGAATCCCAACTCACCCATTGCCTGCCCAAAGCCATCCATCCAGTGTTATTGCCTCTTAGCATGTCCTTCCTTTGGATCCTCTTGCCATCATCCAAGCAGTTGTTCCTGTGTACAGCCTTAAGCAGAGTCCGAGTTCCCCACTCCTTTTACCAGTTCACATTGATGGCCTGTGTGACACCTGGGTTTTGAACAGCTCTTTTTCCATAGAGCATTGTCAGAGGGCACCTCAAGACCGGTGTCTCTCTGAGCAGAGCAAAAATGGGACCAGACAACCAGAGGAATTTCTCTCCCACATGAGAGGGGAAATGTGGATTTTCTTGGGTGTAGATGCATGCAGAAGATACAAGTGCTCCTCTTCATTACTTAAACCAGCTCTTTTCTCTCTTAGGTATCACAACTGTGCTAACAATGACCACCCTGAGTACGATCTCCCGCAAGCACCTTCCCCGTGTTTCCTATATCACAGCCATGGACCTCTTTGTCTCTGTGTGCTTCATCTTCGTCTTTGCAGCTCTCATGGAGTACGCTACACTCAACTACCTGGTGGGAAACAAGAAACCACTTGAGCAAAACAACAGGAAAGCTAGACTGGTAGGTCAAAGGAGCCAGCAGAGGTGGATGCTGTTAGAACCTCAAGCTAGTTAGAAATATCTCTCCTGAGCCTGCATTGGAAACTGCTGATGTGGTTTACTGCCTGACCCATACTGTGTTCACAACATCCTCAAACCTCTCTGTGTGCTGGGTCTGAGCACCTGAAAGGTGAGACACAACCAGAAAAAGCAGATGAGGCTCCCCTAAAACTAGGAGGTCCCTGTCAGAGCCAGGCACCCTGTGCTCTCTTCAGAATTGCTGGAGAGCTTATCAGTACAGTTTAGGATGACTCACATGACCAAATGTAAATGTCCACTTTAAGACAGGGTGATCCATACCCAGGTTCTTCCACCTGTACGGGTTTGATCTCTGGATTACAGAGGTATCTTATGTCACAGAGATGCAGAAACCCACTTTCTTTTGTGGTCTGTCCATCAGAAGACCTCCTGAGTGTGCGGATAGTGAACCCAGAGTGGTCATCATCCTCTTGAGATCTGCCCAAGCTCATGGCAGGTACTTCTGACATTGGCTGAAACAGGCCTCTGAATTGGGACAGAACTGAAACCAAAAAAGACAGATCTCTTCTGTTCCAGCCTCATTTCCCAGCACAGGTGGAGAGAGCTCTTCCATGAGGCTGATGATATGCCTCTGCTCCTGGGCCAAGAGGTTATGGGTCACACACAGCCTTTCTCCAGCTTTTCTCCAGTAACTGACAGCAACCAGAAGACACATCTGGACTGTATGCTGTGTCTTCAGAGACAGCTTAGGTCAGGGGAATGAGGGAAGAGGCTAGCACAGCTGAAACCAAACAGGTCCTGTTTCTGCACTATTAGTGGCAGAGATAGGGAATCAGAGCAAATCTTTGCTGACTAAGGCTATGCCCTAGGCTGCCAGGGAGGAAACTCACAGTCATGCAGGAAGCTGCCAGTCCCTACAGTATGACAAGGTGGTAATTTACAACCAGGTGCAGAGATGGGGAATGATCAGTCATCCCTCTCCATTGAACTGCACCTATGCTATGATCTATTGCCAGTTGGATGGGTTTGGGTGTCTAGAACATGTTTTCTTGCCTTTTCCTTCCCTTTAATCCACTTTCCCCTCCTCATTATAGCCACCTGCTGGTGCACAGGTGATGCCATCCTTTACCACCATCAACATCAACAACATCATGCACTGGCCCCCAGAGATAGAGGAGGATGAGGATGAAGACCCTGGCTCCCCCTGTCTGGAAGGAAAGGAATGCGAGAGGTTCTTCTGCTGCATTGAAGACTGTCAGACAGGAATGTGGCGGGAGGGGAGGGTCCGCATTCACATCTCCCGCCTGGACTCCTACTCTCGAGTTTTCTTCCCCACTGCCTTCCTGCTCTTCAACATTGTCTACTGGATTGCCTATCTCTATCTCTAGCTGTTCTTTGTCCTCAGCTGGAAAGGACTGGAGACCAGCAAGATGGGCTTCTCAAGGAGCATAGAGAACAGCATCTCTTCAGTTGTAGTCGATTGTCGGCCTGAACAATTCAACCTGGTGATTCCCTCTTCCTGCTCTCTCATCTCTTCTGAGAAGAACCAGACAGCTTTCTTTTTAGCCTTCTAAAGTATCTTTTTAGAGAATTTACCCTTCCCAGACAACCTCCTCTCCAGCACCACCAGCATTTTACTCCTTGTAAGATTGTCCAAAAACATCCTATTCCCATTTCAAACATTAGGGATTTTGTCAAAAACAAAAACCTTAATGGGTTTCATTTTTCCATCAAATCCTACTCCAAAATTCCATGGAAAGTGATGGCAAATGGAGTTTTCTGCACAGTTATTAAGACTGCAAATAAAATAAAGGAGATCTTACAACTTCTGCACCACTTCCACCAGAACAGACTTTGTGGAGTGCTAGAGGCTTGGAAAGGTCCAAAGGAAAGAAGTGTGAAAGAGGGCAGCAGTACAGCTTTTCCACAGTAGCTGGGCTTGGCTAAAATGTTTTGAACCTGCCCAGAAAGCTGACAGTGGCACTGACAAGGATGGAGTAGCTGCAAGCCTCCACCAGCTCCCCATAGAATATCTGTGGAGCCTTCCTCATGGATCACTCCACTTGTACCAAGTGGCACCCAAGGCATCCACCCACTGAGGCATTGCTGATTCTCATCAGATGGTGGTAAAAAGCACTTCACAAGTTTGAAGGGCCCATCTGCCTTACTGGAGCAGACTCTTCAGGGCTCACAGTGACATTCTGCTTTGTGATCAGGACTTTGAGCAGGCTACGCAGCTTATGCTGGGCATAGCCAAAAGAGAGACAAAGTCCTTATGCTACAAAGACCAGAAGCAGTCTCATAGGCCTGTTGTGAGGTAGCTTTCATTGGCCTGTCTCACATGAACTGGGCCCTATTGTACCATGCATCATAGCAGGGCAGTGCTCTCCTTCACAACAACACTTGTTGAAACCATCAGATCTGTGCTTGGTAGTAGGTGCTAACCTGAGAAAGGGGTACTAGAAAAGGGAACATGATCAGCCACCAGTGCTGCACCTACCAGTGGTGGGGAGAGAGCATTCCTGCAGCTCAGATGTGTTTCCTTACTTCTTTTTTTTCATAATTACATAAAAAAACAGACTTCACTAAAGTGAAGTGCTCCTCCTAGTTGCCACCAATACTTGGCCCTTTTCTTCCCAAAATCAGGAAATGGAGCAAGTTGTCCTTTGTAGATTTCAGGAAGGTCAGACATAGTGAGATGGTTCCTTATGGTCCATCTTAAAGGGATAGAGAAATGCATAATGCAGTCTCGACTGGGAAGAAACTGCGTAATGTAGAAGAGGAAACTCAGGCCCAAGGTCCATAATGTGTAAATCAGCTGCCCCCCCCCATTTATACCAACTGCTGATGTGGCCCACAGCATGATTGTGAAAAGCAATGTACCATTAATAGTTACTTACTCTGTAAATTACAAACAAAAAAATTTCTTTTTAAAAACAGCATGTTTTAGAAACAATTAGTACTTAAAAGGCTTGTCACAAGAAGAAAGGTGGCATGGCTGCAGAGAAAAAGTTAGGAACGGCTGGCTCACAGGACAGCTAACGGGCAGGAGGTTTTACATATTCTTAGAGAGCAATTTGATCTGGTTTAAAGATGGATTTTGACACTGTTAAATCTGATCTGAATAATGAAGTGTCATGTTTAATTCATTCAGCCTTACCTTGGTTTCAGAGGAACAGCTAGAGCGCCTAATTAAGTATACAATAGTACAACACTCAGCTAAGTATAACCTAATGGGGTCAGACCAGCATAGCTCTGGAAGGGGAAATTGTGCCTGTCTAACCTGTTACAGTTCTTCTTTTAAAATACCAAGTAAGAGCTAAAGGTTACCCAGAAGCATAATTTGCTTTGCTACTCCGACAGCTTTTGAAAGGATGGAAAGAAATTATGGCGGGTGGTTCTAACTGAGGAAATTGATTTAGCAAAAGAATTATTAAGGAGGTTCTAATTAGAGGAAATTAACTGAGGAGAGGGGAAAAAAGAATTGTTAAGGAGGCTCTAATTAGAGGAAATTAATGTTTTAGAGAGAAAGACACAGAGAGGGAGAAGTCTAAGAAAAGAATCAAAACAACTTCCAGACAAGGAGAGCTGCTGGGTGACAGTGCCGACTCCCAGCCAAGCAGGTTGATGTTCTGCTCCTGATAGCAAAGCGCTATTAGATGTAGCAAGAGAAAAACCTCCTATGACTCAACCGTACACCGACAGGGAGCTGGATTAAACAGGGTCCTGTGATCTCTGTGGGGAGCCAAAAGGAAAGAGCATCCTAGATTAAAACTGGCTCATGCGACAGACTCTGAATGAAGCATGTCTTCACATGTCAGAAGGCAGTTGCTAGTATGTGCGTGGGAGAGGACACCCGGGTGGCAAAGCAGGGCCCATGCCAAATATGCTCATTAACAGTGCGGTGGCATAAAAGGTGTGCAGGCAATGTAGGCTGCAGTGAACACAGGCAGCTAAATGTGGAAGGGGAGCATCTGAGAAAGGGATTGTGGAAGGGAAAATTTAACATCCATGTGCAAAGGAGTCCAAACATCTGCAATTCACTGTAGCTGTGAAGCACTTGGGAGCCTTGATGGACACAGATGATCATCATGGGCACCGGAGTACAGACTTCAGCCCTGAGAGCAGCAGGTTGTTGAAATTAGACCTTTTACAGATCAGCCAGGAGAGAAGCAGGGTGTACAAGAGCCCTAAGAGGATGACAGGGACTTGGGCAAAGTAGAATTGAAAGCTTATAAGATTTCACCAAAAAAAGATAAAGCCAACACACACCTAGGTAATTTAACCAGTGATGGAGGATTTGACAGAGGAAAATAGCCTAGCGTGGGCTGGAGCACAAGGAAGCTGATTACTAAGGCTGGGGAAGGAGGAGGGAGGGGGCTTTTTGGCTTAGGGAAATCTGTGCCCATCATAAATAGCTCAATAAATAAAGGCATGCACAAATTCAATCATGTTTTTAAGTTTCTACAGTATCTATCTCAAAAAAGGAAAGCTAAGAAAAGCCAGAAAGAAAAATCTGCCATTTTTTGGAATTACTTTGCAAAGCTCCAGTTTCCTGAAAAAAGGTTTCCCTGCTATATCAGCAGGGAATCCAGGGCACAGAGACATCCAGTAGCCATGTCTGGCCCTGCTCAGCAAGACAGTGGGAGCCAAGGCCCACTGGTCCCCTCCTAGACTGGCATAAACCACCTGCCTTTCCCTGCATGCTGTAGTTTCTGCCATCACGCTGGGATGGCTTATGGCACCGCAGTGTCTTTCAGCCTGGCACAGCTGTTGCCTTTTCACCAGCGTCTGACTAGCTCACTCCAGGGGACACAGCCTGAGAACATGGGGCTGAGCCATGCTGTGCTGGGCAGGAGAGATGGAGGCACCTGGGCAACTGCAAGACACCTGGGTGGCTGTGCTGCCTCCTCCCCTCAAGTAGGTTTCGACTTTCTTCCCCAGCCGGAAACTTGGTGGAGGAGCCACGTATTGCCACCGTCACAGGCTGAGTTGGTGCTGGACTTCCCTCACCTCCTCCCTACCCTTCCCAGGGATGAGCAAGTCACATTCCCAGCCCCGGTGCCTACAGAGGACCTCTGTCAGACAGCTACTACATGACAAGTTTCCTTGCTGGTGGCCCGAGAGTGCTTGATGCTGGCTATCATGGCTGATCCTGTAGCAGAACACCACACATCCCAAGTTAGTGAACTTTGCTGTGAATGTGGTCAGTTCCACCTCCTGCTGGACAATCATCTCTTCCAGGATGAAGTGGACAATGAACTTATCTGCCATATCGGCCTGTAGGCTCTTCTCCAACCTATGGACACCCCCTGTGGACATATGCACTGTTTCAAATGCCTTGAAAACTTCATGCAGGAGTATAACTTTTGTCCTGTGGATCGGAAAAAGCTCTCTTTCCAGCAGTGCCACAAGTCCAGCCTTCTAGTAAGAAACCTGTTGGATAAGCTGATTGTCTTCTGTCCTTTCAAGGCAGTGTCAGCAGACAATGCAGCGGTGAGAACTAGAAGCTCATCTGTAGGACAGGTGTCCTGGTTTCAAGAAATACAAATCTGAACTACAGTGGAAAAAGAATCCAATTTCCAAAGGGAAGGAACATCCCCCTACGAACGTGGAGACAAACACACACAAGGATCCAGAAGTACCAAATGGAATATCATCACTTTGTGGCAAGCTCTGCAGCTGCTGTGGTATCACTAGGGACTGCAGAGCCTGGACTGCTTAATCCAGCTTTTGAGGAGACTGACGAAGACCTTCCTCAGAGAGTTAAGTTAGTCTTATGGCTGAAAAGAACAAAATTGAAATTCACCAAGAAGACCTGAAGGAAGAGTTGAGGATGAGGATAGCCGGGGAGTAATGACACCTCACTAGGAAACATTGTTCAGGAAGTCTTGCAGGATTCTGTCATTGCTGCAGATGGAAGACTAGCACCTGGGGACCATATTCTTGAGGTGAATGGTGTCAACATCAGCAGTGTGACTCACTGCCAAGCTGTCTCCTTTCTGCACCACCCAGGGCTCAGTATTAGGGCCAGTTCTATTTAATATCTTTATCAACAATCTGGATGGGGGATCAAGTGCACCCTCAGTAAGTTTGCAGACAACACCAAGTTGGGCAGGAGTGTTGAGCTGCTGGAGGGTAGGAAGGCTCTACAGAGGGATCTGGACAGGCTGGATCGATGGGTGAGGCCAAACGTATGAGGTTCAACAAGGCTAAGTGCAAAGTCCTGCACTTGGGTCACAACAACCCCATGCAGTGCTACAGGCTGGGGAAGAGTGGCTGGAAAGCTGCCTGGTGGAAAAGGACCTGGGGTGTTGGTCAACAGCCGGCTGAATATGAGGCACCAGTGTGCCCAGGTGGCCAAGAAGCCATACAAGCCATACAAGCCTGGCTTGTATCAGAAATAGTGTGGCCAGCAGGAGTAGGGAAGTGATTGTCCCCCTGTACTTGGCACTGATGAGACCACACCTCAAATACTGTGTTCAGTTTTGGGCCCCTCACTACAAGACATTGAGGTGCTGGAGCGTGTCCAAAGAAGAGCAACGAAGCTGGTGAAGGGTCTAGAGAAAAAAAGTCCTATGAGGAGCGGCTGAGGGAACTGGGGTTGTTTAGCCTGGAGAAAAGGAGGCTCAGGGGAGAC